ACCCAGTTTATAACGCTGCGTTCTAGAAACTTCTTCCCTGCCCTACCGACAGACATGCCTTAAGCCAGAGCCAGCAATAAGCGGTGAGGCGTCAGGCACAGACAGGATTTTGTGTACAACATAGGTCAGGTTCGTAGCGTTGATGTGCGAAAAATACGCGACGCGTCTGTTATAATATTTCCTCTAAATTTTAAGGGCAATAATTGTACGGGGAAATCTATTTTACTTGAAATACTTACTAATAGGTGAGTAGAATTTACCTGTATTGGAAGGGTATAAATAAGCTACAGCCAAAAAGCCATATACCCCTCCCCACCTCCTACAACCACCAATTTCCACGCCTAAAAAAATGTTTCGAGGGTGATCGCTGAAACATCTGAAAAAAAAGTTTGAGCTTTTTTCTTTTTTTTGCCTGTAACTCCGTCACAACCAGATAAATCTTCAAAGACTACAAAGCTCGTCCTTGGCATAGTAGTAACCTTTTGTTGAAATTGCATCAAGAATCCAAGCGGTCCTTTTCAATAACCCCTTACGATACTTTCCAAATTATTATAGAGCGGTCAAATATTGGTGGACAGACAGATAGATCGGCAAACGGACAAGCCGACAGTCTGACCAAAAAAGACGACATAGTTTTTCGTCAACGCCAAACAAAGTGGCGTGCACGTCATCAAGGTGGGTGTGTTGAAAAATTTACATTGTTGCCAAACTTTTGTAAAATAATAAAATTTATTATTTACATATCTAGGTTTATAAGCAATATTAACCTCAAATGAGAACAAAAATAATAGTATAATAAAATTATAGATCTGTACTTGCATAATCATTAAGTATGACAATTATTGATCAGATGACACTATGAAACTACCATATTTAATTGATAGCTTAAAGGTACTGAATAAAAATCCAAATGGGGTCCTCCAAATTTTATGCATGGTATTTATTTTACAGAATTCATACAGAAAAATGCATTCTAAAATTAGGTAAGCTACTGGTGTAAGCTTTTTCTGTACAATAAAGTTAGTCGGAGTTTCTTTCTTCAGCGCTGTCTGAATCTGAATCTTCATCACTCAAAGTTGATTATTAAAGGTTCGATGTCTGGTCGATCAAAAATTCGTTCTCTTTCATACCATTTAAAAATTTCTTGCTCAGTATGTCGAACACTATTTTTCCACATGTCTGGGGTAACCGTTTGTAGAGCCTCGTTCCACATATCCAAACAGTCTTTTTCACTGTTACCATCTCTACCAATATGTCTGTTATAGTAACCTTTTACTATGCCCCAAATTAACTCAATAGGGTTAAATATACAATGGTAAGGAGGCAGACGAAGAACTTTGTGCCCATGTTGTTCCGCCAATTCATCAATCACGTATATTTTAGGTGGTTTGTTTCTAAAAAAGCAGTTATTTTAAGAATAGGAATAAACAAAAGAAATATAAACTGTCGACCAAAATATATATAATTAAGAAGCATTATGTACCGAGCAACAATACTCAATAGCTCTGTTTTAAACATTGTGTTTAAAAATGGTATGTTTTGATTTGTCAACCAGTCTTGGATATTTTTTTTTGTCCATGCATTGTTGGGCACTTTGTTCAATATCATGCTGTGATAAGGGGCGTTATCCAGTATAATCATAGATGGACTCTCCAATTTTTCTAATAACTGATGTTGAAACCATTTCAAAAAATTGTCCTGGATCATCTCTCCATGGTAATCGCTCAATTTTGTTTTCGAAGAAAATATCGCTTCACTACCCTCAATAAACCCATTTTCATTTCCAGCATGTAATATAATGTATCTAAAATATATTAGTTTTAAATTTTATAGTGCAAATTGTGTAAAAGTACATACCTTTTACCATCTGTTTTAATAGCTTTCACGCTTTTTTGGTTTCCATTTTGCCAAGGGCGACCTATGGTCCCATTTTGAAATATCCAAGTTTCATCGAGGAAGACAAACTGGTATAAGGCCTCAACCTTGGCTTGATTGTATTGCCTTAGAAATTCCACCCCTTTCAAAGCTATACTTGGTAGTTCCATGAGCCCTCGTCGCGGATTGTCCTTAAGCCACTAAAATCCAAGATCTCTAAGCAACCGCCTTAAAGACGTGGCACTACCATCAAATAATGCCCTATCTCTTAATCGAGACCATAAAGTTTGTATCGTAACTTGTTCTTCTGAAACCATGTGTAATATGACATTATAATTTAGTTAACAAATTAATGCAAATTTCTGATAAGTTATTATAATAAGATCTTACTTTTGTGATACATATTATAGATCACTTCTCGAATGGCACTTGTATCCAATGTCGCTGTGTTGGTTACACGTTTAATATAACTCCGCTTTTTCTTGGGCGATTCTAAATTTGCATCACTTTTCACACCCTCGGAAATACGACTAACTGTCCTTAAACTAATTTTTAAAGCAGCAGCAACACGCTACAAAAAATGAAATAAAATTTCACTATTATTAATATACATTACATATAATTATTAGTAACCTACCTCTTGAACAGCATTTAAAGGCAACAAAGGCCCGTTTTTGTCCCTTTCTTGCTCAAAGTAGTGCATTAACGAGGCCACGAGTTCCTTACACCGACTATTTAACTGTTTGGGCGTCTTTATATACCAAAATTGCCTTTATCTACTCGTAAAATGAATAATTTTGTTTTGAAACAAACAGTTGTTGATTTACAGCATGCGGGGCCAAAGGATTTATAAAGATTTGAAATGCCACAAATTGATTCAGTGTCAAAATTAATACAAATGTCAGTTCCCAGTTTAAATAAGTTTCAAGGTGACAATGTGTCAACGCTGCGAAATCGGTTTAGTGCGTTTACATGTCGATAAGTGATTGGAGCGTTTGCAAAACATTTTATTTCGCATAATGCGTCTAAATTTATCAGAAAGCAACTTATGTGATATTTTAATAACAATGTTTATATGACTATTAACCATAATAAGAGAGTAATGACCATTTTACAATTTATATATCACAGTAATATGAAACTGCAATAGAGCAATTGTTTGTGATAGAAACCTAGGCATTAGGTCGGGGAATTTTTATCGTGATGACGTGCACGCCACTTTGTTTGGCGTTGACCCAAAAAACATAACATCTATGCATCGCGTAGTACCCATTAAGTAGTCTACTACCTAATAGTAGAGAATGTAATAGTAATGGTACTCAGCATTTACAAGTTTTAGATTATTTTACAGAATACGGCGTAATGAGTAGATAACATTTAGTCTGGAGTGAAGGGACATGATAGACATAGATCCCATAACATGTCCGATTCATATACAGTTAATGTCAATCTTCATTAATAGAGAAAGACCTCAAAATAATTTTAGTTGGAGCCTATTTTAGTCGTATGTTCAAACACACACTCTATCTCTCACTTGACAAGATTTTTACAATCCTTATTTGAATATACACTATTCTTAAGTCTAACTGTTGATGATATTAGTATGAAGATTCACGCACTTCGGAAATTGCTTGACCTGTCACTGTATCAAATAGTTTTTGCAGCTGGACCAATTTAACCACTGGTTCTTTATGCTAGCAGCTGGCTCCATGATGTACGCTAAAAATCCTTGTTTTGTATGTATGTTACATTTGAAACTCCTTAGTTATACCGCACTTTCTTTAGTTAAAACTAGTTTCTACTATATGTCTATAACGATCACATCAAAAATGAGAAGGCACGTCAGTACTCAACCCAGGCATCGGCAGCATAGGTAAACAAAACATTTTTTTACTAATCGGTTCGAAAGAACCAAAATGGTAGAGCTAGTATGCTTTCTCATGAGTCGCGCAATCCACCAGAGAAGAGGTGGTTGGACACAGAGTAGGGATATTTCCCCATCTCTTTCGTTCAGATGCAGTCCTAAAAACATTCGGCAGCGCCAGCAGCAGGCCTACAACGTGTACAGTGGTGTAGTTATAGAGTTTATTTAATCGTATAGAGTTGAACGCGTGCATCCTAGCATATACCATGTTTGTGTGTAATTTCATTATTACGGAAGTTACCTAATTCTGTAAGCATTGTAATAAATATCATCTTGAAAAGAGAGCTAAAAACGAACACAACGACTCCGTTTATTTTGTGATTACATGAAATATAAGGATTTCTTTATCACTCCCACTGCTAAGTGGTTGGTATCCTAGATCTTCGTCATTCTTATAATACATTTCTGGACGGTACCTATTATACGAGTATATTCCCGACTTAGGTATTCTTCCTCCACTCTTGATACATAGTCGCAAACGTTTCTCCACGTCTCTGGAGTGACGCGGTCTAATGCTTGTTTCGCCAATGTAGAAACATCATCCACTTTAAAAGGGGGTATTACAGGCAGCAACCTCATTTCTGACAATGTCCAGATTTTCTCTATAGGGCTTGGTTCTGGATGGTATGGAGGCAAGTGCAGAACATCATGACCGTTTTCATCTAACATCCTATCTACTGCATAAATTTTGTTCAATGATTTGTTTGTTTGTTTGTTTTTGATGTATTATACGATAAAGTTCAGTTTTTGTGATATCATCAAAAGGGATATTCTTTCCAGTGAGTCATTTCTGCATATCTCTTTTTTTCCAAGCAGACGTTGTATTACGGTCTGTCAGAACATTATGGAAGGATGCATTGTCAATTACTAATACAGAATTTGGTGCGAAATTTGGTATTCATTTTTCTTGAATCTATTTCTCATAATTTCCATGATACATATCATCACGATAATCGCCTATTTTTAAACCTGATTTAAATATATGAGGTCTGCATTGGGAACAAAACCATTTCTACTTCCACAATGTACAAAGATTAAACGTTTGCCTTTTAAAAAGTAGAACTTTTAAGCAATTATCTGTTCCATCATCTCATGCTTTCGGTACTCTCTGTGAGCTATGTATGCATCTTTCGTCCTTGTAAACGATATCTGCCTACAAAAGCCTTTCTATGGTTAACAGATAAAAACAAATTCTCGTATACTCATAATCATCATAAATTTTGTATTCTTAAGTCGTTTGAAATATATTTACACACCTAGATCCTTGTACTCTTTCAGCCTTCTCACGTATTCTGTCCATTTCGATCTGCTCTCCGGCTTTTCAATCAGTACCTTCCTATTATCTTCCGTTCTTTTCCAACGAAAGCACAATTTGCGTACTATTTTCCTGAATGGCGTGAGCAATCATTTACTGCAGGTCTCCTTTTATCGATATACACGAACTTGATTTGTTTATAGTTTTTCCAGGAGAAGTAAGTTTTGTATTCGGTGGTTTGGAGTGATTTGCTTTAACAACACGCTTCACAGCATTTATGGATACACCTGTAGTTTCAGCTACTCCTGTTTCCTTTTCTCGCTCCATATACTATAATTTATCGTTCTTGGCTATGAACAACTCTCTTGTTATTCCGTTCCCTATTTTTGAAAAATAATTTTTAATTCAATGTTTCATGTGCTATTGTATAGTAACTTAGATTTTGCCTGACAGATCGACTGGTAGTCTTGAAAAAGACCCCTGGAAAAAATATAAGAACGCCTATGTTACGCTGATGTTACCCGTTCGACGTCCAAGAGGAGAATATGTAGAAAAGCCTATATACAGGGTGGCGCATCGAAAACGAAACAGACGCATATACTGGCAGCTCAGTTCTTTTTGGTAAAAACCGCTCAGACCCGTCGATTTTGTTTTCGAGGGGGACACAAGTTTGGCAAAAAATGACGTTAAAACGTGCAGCTTCCTGGGCGGGGGTGACACCAACCCTAAAATCTTAAATAGAAAGGGAGGTCGAGTTATACCTTATTTTAAAGGTCTTTCAATTCCCTTTATAATGATGTAAAATGCATGAGCTTCAGTTCAGTAGTTTTGAAGATTTATTGATTTAAAGCTTAAAATAGACTTTAATAGGTACATCAGACTAGTTTGTACTACTTTCAGAAGAAATTTGACTAAAAGAATTTACTCAATAAGTAAATGCTTTTCTTCTCTACGCCCTTGGTTTGTTTATCATTTTGTTGTTGAAAATAGCTATTGGAGGGTTTTTTGTGGCAAAAAAGTTATTTCTTGAAGAAAGATAAGGAAATATCTCGTACTTATTTTAAATAGGAATTTAGTACATAGTTTGCGATTGATTTGACCAAACGTTGTTGCTAAAATAACTTGTAACGCTTTATTACATAAATTAACCATGGTATCTTCCACAGCAGAAAGGGTTGAAATTATCGAAATATTTTTCGGAAATAATCACTGCACTAATAGAACAGCAGAAATATTTAATGAGCGACATCAGAACAGTAACGTGGATCAAAAATATGTTCTAGAACTTGTAGCTAAATTTCGGGAAACTGGGTCAGTCGCCAATAAAAAATGCAAGATTGAAAATCCCATAAGGAACGAAGCAATAGAAGTGGGGGAAGGGGGGGGGTATTGGAGACTGTGTGTGGTATTAGTCGACGTACTGTCCAACGGATTCTAAAGGCCCATAGTTTTCATCCGTATAAAATTCACCTGGCACAAGAACTTAATGAAGGCGATTTTGATCAGCGATTACAATTTTGTGAAGATATGAGTGAACGAATTATAGACGTTGAACATTTTCTATTCAACACTTGCTTTTCCGGCGAACGTTCCTTTTTCTTAAATGGCGTAGTAAATCGTCATATTGGTCTGATTCTAATCCCAGAATTTATCATGAGGTTCATACACAGCAGCCACAAAAATTAAATGTTTGGGCTGGTATTTTTGGCGATCATTTAGTTGGTCCTTTTTTCTTACCTGAAAATTTGACCGGTGAAATGTACTTGGAATTACTGGAAGACGCCATAGATCCTGCATTAACAGCCATAATCAAAATCAGAATGATCGGCGGTACATTGCGAATAGGTTGACGTTCCAACAGGATGGTGCCCCACCACATTACGCATTACGTGTTCGACAATATTTAGATCAGACGTTTCTAGATCGACGGATTCGTAGAAGGGGTGCCATTGAATGGCCCCCAAGATAGCCAGAATTATCAACTTTGCATTTCTTTATGTGGGGTCATTTAAAAAACAAAATCTATGCTACTCAGCCAACATCATTAGAAGACCTGCGACAAAGAATTGTCAATGAGTGCCTTCAAATTACTCCTCAAATATTGCAAAATGTGCGGCAACGTTTTGAGCAAAATCTTTATTATTCCATGGAGAGTCATGGTATTCATTTTCAACATTTACTTGCCTAACGGGTCAGTTCGTTCTTCATTTTTAAATTACTTTGCTGCCAAATGTATTGATCTCCACTAATGATGATGTATTAGTTTTATTTAAGCTTTAAATCAATAAATCTTCAAAACTACTGAACTGAAGTACATTAATTTTATATCATTATAAAGGGAATTGAAAGACCTTTAAAATAAGGTATGACTCGACCCCCCTTTCCGTTTAAGATTTTGGGGGTGGTGTCACCCCCGCTTAGGGGGCTGCACGTGCTAACGTGATTTTTTTCCAAACTTGTGTCCCCCTCGAAAACAAAATCGACGGGTCTGAGCGTTTTTAAAAAAAACTGAGCTGCCAGTAAATGCGTCTGTTTCGTTTTCGATGCGCCACCCTGTATACTTTTATCTAATGTAGTAGTAGCGTTTTCAGTGTATTGTTTCTGCATTCTGAGCATTCAACGCCACAGCTGTAGCAGGTATTAGGGAACCAGACAGACCAGTGCAATTTTCCAGGACTAAAGTATGGCAAACGCTGCGTGATGATGAATTGCCCCATTTTGTACAAGCTGAGGATATGCGGGCGACTGAGTTTTTGTAAGTGATTGATGCAACAATATGAAAATAGTCCTGGGTTGAAATTGAGGTCCATATTAGCCACGGAAGAATCAGCGTTAACGCGTAACGGCGTGGACTTCCGAAATACACATAGGTGGTTATTCGGAAATCCTCGCGTGGTCCGTCGGTCACATTTTCAACAAACATTTTCTTTGAATGTTTGTGCTGCACAGGTATGATATGGTCACTGGATATTTTATTTTCCAGGAGTTTACAATACCTAGTTTTTCTACGAAACATTCAACCTACCGCGACAACTTCTAGCAGTACTTATAAGTGACAGAGCCGTACTTGAAATTTCTCAGCAAATGAACGGTGAGTTTTTTTTTTCACTTTTCCGATACTGCTTCACCACTCATTAGCTTTGTTCTTCCAAGCATAGGTGTATCTGAATTGACTATGACTAATTTTATGCTTACGGTTGTGTCTTGTGAAAGGCAAGAACTTAATTAATGTATGTCCCAAAAGTTCTGGCACAAACTTCATTGGCTTTAATTTTAACAAACACAAAATAATATCAAGTTTCCTTTCGAAACAAAAGTTTGTTTACTTACTTTACTATCAGTTGGCATTTATTTATTTTGAAGTTTTCGCTTTAAGATGTGGTATAAATTAGAAATAAGAAAAAGCATCTACAAGTCAGTTGGGCGGCTACCCAAAGCTAAAATCTGTCGAATATTCCAGAATAAAAACATTGTCCATGTCTGAATCTCCCAAAAAGTGGAAGACCTCGTGCATTTACTGCACAGAGCTCAGAGAGATTGGTAACAGGATCAAAAAATCAGGCTGGAATATCAACAAGGAGACTGGCTCGTCAATGCAAACCTTCTAAGAGTACGATATCGTTAGAATTGAAGAGAAATGATCTTAAGTATCAAGACTAAAGTATGCCGAATGCTCTCAAGCGCAACGTCTTCTCTTACCAAGATGCTGTCATCAACTGAGGCGTCAATAGAAAATTCAATATTTTAGATCACGAAAAGTAAGTATTTCGCTTTGAGTAATTCTGAAATGAAAGGAAGCTACAGATTTTATACGGACAATATATGGGAATGCCCTGACAATGTTAGATACAAAGACAAAATAGAAATATTTGCAGATAAAGTCCTTGCCTGGTGCGCAATTTCTAACTGGGGTGTGTCTCAGCCTTTTGAGGGAAGAGTGAGGGGTGAAGCTTTGAATAGTCAAAACAATATTGAGAACTGCATTTCCAAATTGCTTCAGTTTGTCTACTACAATCATGCTTATGACCATATCATGTTTTGGCAGACCTAGCATCACGTCGCTACTCAAGGGATACCCAAAACTGGCTTCGACGACACAACATACCTTTTGTTCCCAAAAACGATAATCCTACAAACTTGCCGTAGGCTCGCCCAATAGAGGATTTGTAGGCTTTACCTTCTAGGAAGGTTTATCATGGGAGCTGGGAACCTCAAGAAGAAGAACAATTAAGACGGCGAATTTACGAAAAACTGAGAGAAATTGATCTTAATTTCGTCCAGGACCTCATGAGAGACATTCGAAGGAAGTTGAGTCAGGTAGAGCAGAATGGCCACCCCAGATAATTCTATAGTATAGTTTATTCAAGTATTGAGTTATTACTTATGATAAATAGTTGGTGTTTAAATAATTTTTTTCATTAAAAAAAATCTGATATATGGTTTCTGTCAAAACATTTAGAACATACGTTACATATTGAAGTATGCCTAAACCTTGCTCACCTTTGGTTCTGGAAGGATATCCAGGATATGTTTTGTTATCGTCAAATGGTCTCACTTCCCAATGACTGATGAGGTCCACCAATGAGACGCCGCTACATTTGATGGCATCCTTGTCACACTCAGGACATTGAATGGGCGGGCCGCAAATGTCTTCATAGGAAACCTTGTCCGGGGGATGAATACCAAAGATAGTTTCTTTGTTCAACTCAGTGGTGAATCTAGGAGGTGGAAGACGTGGATCCAATTCTGGAATATAAATGAAGCTTAAACAATGAAATCAAAATTATCAAAATATCACACATGAGACTAGGTAACATCTGTACAGTTGTAATCGGAGCTAATAAGATTTAGATGTATCGTGTCTGCCCATTTCTAACCCCGAAATAAAAAAATGACCGTTCCACTCTCTAAACGGGAGGTCCTTACCATAAAGCTGTAGCTCTCCCCTTGTGGTCTGCAGCTCATTTTTACTGATACAAAAGTATCTGTAAGTGAAATCTCTTGGAGTTACTCGTGATATTTTCAGTTGCATGCGTATTCGGTATCCACGTTTCTCCAACGTGTTGTTAATTCTATATTTGTCTCCATTCTCCAGCAGACTGCCATCGGATCGTTCCCAGTATCTAGAACAAAGCAATCGAGGCATTGAAGATATTTATTTTATATATTTTGTTCTCCTTCTAGCTCCATTGTTGTTACTGTTTCATTTTATTGAACTTTAAACCTCATTTATATCAATAGCCACAGAATATATGAGTTTAAAGTCAAAAACAGAATGTGTCTTTTGTTATAAAGGTTGGCTCATAATTTACATGTGCAGCATGGTGTTTTCTCGCATTGTGAACAAAATTATATCGTGCAATTCTAGGTCCAACCAAAATTATAATTTTTCCCACACATTCAAATCCCTAAATTAATATTTGGATCAATGTAAAATTACTGAATACTAGTTAACAATATTAAGGTACCCCTATAACTGACGCACTTCTGTCTCTTTGCTTTTCCCCCTTCCTTCCTGTCTTTTTCCTTCCTTTTCTTTTTTCTGACATCGTCTGGTATCTGAGAAACCAGACCCGACAGACCTACTGACTTAACAATACTTTAACCAAGAGCAAAGGTCCGACGGACCGCTCTGACGGATGATGACGGATAGACGATAATAATTGTATCAAAGTTTAGCATTCAAAATCGTTTTTTTCTTCTCTATACCTCGAGTTGCTTGTATGATATCGACATCAAAAGTGGAAGATTCTGAGGGTGAGAAATACGCTTATATTCCTTTTAGTAGTACGTAGAGGACACTAGTTACAATATATAATCTTACTATAGCATAAACCATAACTTTTTTGCTAATATTAAAAGTTATGATAATGGTAACGTTTAATTAAATCATTTAGACTGAAAAAATCCTTTTTGGGATATTTGCATTTCAACATGTGTAACAATTGCATATTCATTTTGCAACACATCCTTAACACAGTCCATTTGTTCACAATAGCATATTTGATTATTGATTAGTCTGCCTGCCCGACTCAATGCTCAATAAGGAATAATCGAAAGTTAGTACCAAAAAAGTTATGGCATGAAATAATGATACTCTGTAAGTACCATCCTCTATATACCAGACTAAAAAATCATATTGTCCATTGTGGGAAACCTCGGATTCATAATGTCCATGTTAATATCACAAAGCACCTTGAGATATAGAGCAACAAGGATTTTGAAAACAAAATGTCGAGACCCTCTACCTACTGATCAAGGAGCCATACTTTATGCTTTTTAGCTCTATACTATTATATTCACGAGCTTAATCTACCATCGTTTTTGGAATTCCGAATGTTGTGAAAGACAATAAAAAAGAAGATAAAAAACTTCGAGACAAATTAGAAGAGGATATTTAGAAACTAAATTATTAGAAAATAAGAAACGTATGTCCATTGGTTTTGTTTAATTGATCGATATATGATTTTTTAAGAATAAAAATGTGGAATAGTCCTTATAAATATAAAAAATCTTTGAAGGTTCTCCTATGTAAGATATTTTAGATAATCATAATTTTTGATAATATCAGGACGCTTCAATAAGTAGGAACAATCCGAAGCTTGCAAAAGTGGAAAATATTCAGGGTGTCCGCCAAATTGGCACATTCTTTTACACGGTGTGTAGATCTTGAAAAATACGCGTTTCTTCCTTGTACCAAGGCATCAAGATAACAGAGACATTAGGCTCCTTTAAATCAACCAAACATAAACCAAACTTAATCCGCTTCTGTTTCTCTACCAGACCAAACGTCGTACCCAACCTTTGGGTAAACATTTATCTACCACTCTTTCGAAAAAGACCAAAACGACTCACTCAAACGGCTATATTGGAATTGTCGGTTTTAATTTACGGTAAATGTGTTAAAAATGCTGCTACCGAGGCTTCGCGAGCATATGCAGATAGCTTTGCCAGATGTAATCATGCATTGTCCCATCGATTTGTTTACTTTATGCAAAGAGCTGGGTAAACAGGTCGTTTGCAGGAATGTGGGGGTGGGCACAGTAGGAAGCCTAGACAACCCCGAATTGTGCAAACTGAGTAAGAAGTATTGAATCTCGTAGAAGAAAATCCTCAATTTTAACACTAGGTTTTTGAGCGTTATTAGTTGCTCAATACGTCCAGCCATGTGACAATCCATCATCAGTCCATCAGGATATCTTTCAGTCTGACCACGTCTGGATATCTGACTATCAAGTGCTTGGTGCACTGCACTACCGCATCGTTTCGGTGCCATTCATTATGCCAATCAGTTTTCCAAGACTAGACTGGTGGATTATACCCGTACAACGTGTATAAGCCCTCCAAGCTGAGAATTTTCCTGCAAGAGTGCATTTTTGTGAGTGGTTATTGCACCAACATGAAAATAATCAATAGTTTTTAAAGTCCCTACTAATCACGGACAAATCAACCTGCACTTCCGAAATACTCAATTATTCCGGTCATTGTAAAGCCCACACGCAGTCTATCGGTCAAATTTTCAACAAATATTTTAGTGAAGTGTTTGGGCTGGCATGGTAAATTGTATGCTCATTAGACCTTTTACTCTTCCGAATCGGCTGGACGGCTTCCAATACCTAGACTTTTTACGAAGCATTCTACTAAGACTGCTTGAATATGTGCATTTGAGTGTAAGACAATCAATGTGGTTTCTCCATGATGGAGACGCGAAGCGCGTGATTACTCAAATGAACAATTTCCGAATAGGTAGATCGGACGTAATGGAGCCGTATCATGGCCTTCGGGACCTCCTGACTTAACACCTTGGCATTTCTTTCTTTGGGGATAAATGAAATGCTCAGTGTACATACCAATCTGAGGTAAATACGGTTGGCGAGGTACTGTTTCACCAAACATTAGCTTCGTTATTTTAAGCATAGTTGAAAAGGAAAGTGCCAACTTTCAGGACACCATGTATATGATTTTGGAAGATAAGCTCACTAATCTTGCTGCAACTGTAGTTGATCTATCTATTCCTTGAAAAAAAACAACAAGTATCTATGAATGTTTATTACATATCTAGTAATTCTTTACAGGGCTAATTTTTGTGAAAAGGCTTTCCATCCCAGCAGCAATGTGATTGCTCTATCAGCTCAATAGAACTAGCCCAAAACCATCAGTGGTATTTATATTTCTCTCATCACAATTAATGCGAGCGGGAACAGATAAAATTTTAGTTATATATGTAGTATAAATAAATACTTTATAGACCGTGCATTTCGAAATTGCTTTTGAATGCTTGCTAGCAAATTGTCGATGTATATAAATTTTTTCCAAGTTGCGTCCATTATGACTTTCTCTAGACTCTATTGCTTCTTTACTATTTTATTCGAATCCGCAAAAAGTCCTGCATTATTCAGGGACAGACTCGATCACCTAAAAAAATCGCTAAACGACCTTGCTGCATCTGAATTCTGTAGTATCTGTGAATTCTCTGAAAGCAAACTGCAAGCGTATACTAATGAATCTCCAATCTAGAATGATGCTTTCCTTGATTGATCCATGCGACAGCGCTTCCGTTTTCCGGTGAGAAACAGGGTCGCGTCACCGGTCCCTTCCACTTCATCGAAGAATCCCTAAACGTGACAAATGGTCCTTCTGCTTACCTGAGAGGCTCCGGGAAGGCTTCCGTCTCGCACTCCACCACTGCCGTTGACCCGTTCGACACTCCGACCATCAAGTTGGAGATCCGCACTAATGGAGGAACTGCGCAATAAGGATAATGCTGGGTTAGTAAAGTTTATTCAACAACAATAGTAAGATAAAAGGCACGTGTGGCATTAACGACTTTCAGTAGATCATTCTGAAGGCATCACATCTATGCATCCATCTCTCTCACGCATCCATATCTGTCTTGCCACGCCTTTTTTATAAATAAAAGGAAATAGTGGTGTGTTTCCTCCCTCCTTTTTTAAGTATTAATAAATTAATAAAACGCGATAAATGAAATCAAATGGTGAGTCAATACAAGATAGCTGTCTAGTGGCATGCAAATTTAGGCCCTAGCTCAATAAAGCGGAAACCGCCAGTGACTCGGAACGAATTAAGCCACAAATCCCGAGATGTTAGTCGGAATTTGTTTTGCACACAAAAGAAAAAATCTTATAGCAATGACGTACACTAATTTATAAAAAAATCACATTATATTAACCAGTCAACTAACACAAATGTTCCACACTAAAAATTTTCCACCACTGGAGTGCAAGTTAAAAAATATATTATCGAAAATTGCCGCACAAAGAGATGTTTAAAATGTATCCCTGCGTAAAGTCTACCATATTATACCGTTTTACAATTAAAGCGCCTAAACCCAAACTTAGCTGTGGAGCAGGTTTTTTCTGGGTACAGCTCCAGACGCAGCCGAGCTGTGGCCAATAGTGGACCGAGACGCTAGAAACTCAAGAAGAAATTGGCTACAAAACAGTTACAAGACAGCTACGAAGCTAGAGGAGTGCAGATGGTGGTTTACCTCAATGCCTTCCCACGCAGAAAAGTTTAATATCTCATAAAATGGAGAGAGTAGCACTCAAAGAATAACCAAAATAAACAACTAATCGTAAGGTAGATGACAAAAAAACGGAGGACCGATACACCTTTACCTAGAATTCGATAGAAAATGACGAACTGTTAGTTGACTATCGATCAATGTCAAAAGTGGGAGGATGCTGGTTGTCTATGAGCGGACCCTAGAAAACTAACTTTAGGAGGTACCAACAATATTTTATGAGGACATTTTTGAGATAGTGATTAATAAAATAGTGTCCAAAAGACTTCAACACAATACGGAGTTGCTAAGAAAGATGTAATATGTGTGAAATTATAAGTTCAGGATCAATTTGTTTCGAGCTCAATAGATCAAAAAATTAAGAAATTTGCCAAAAGAAAATCATTCAGAAGGGTTTGGCCTAGGGATCGGTACTCTATCATTTATAAAGAGAAGTTAAAATTACTGGTAAGAGATCAAAATAGTCAAAAAAAGGTTATGTGATTTTAGCATGTTACAGTCTCTGTACGCGTGTTTGTTTTGTGTAAGCTCAGACATACGCCAACTCGAAAGTTTTCTCGCCAACGTTTGAGTCTTAATAATCTATGGATGACACTGATGGCCCACTAAATATGGGCGTACCATTTTGAATTCACTTTTTATTAATATTTGTAACATAAAACATACATAGCAGTACTTGAAAATACAACTAACTGTCAAGGTTGATAATTTTTGCCAAAATTATTAGAATATTTGAGAAAGTGACTGCGAGCCATTGCTTTATTAATCAATTCATGTATGCAAGAGCAGCTGCGTTTAAGATCGGTTTGCAGTTTTCCTATGGAGCTATAGCTCCATTAATTAATTTAACTAGTCGATTTGCTTACTTATTTTATATGGCATTGATCACATAACCGCCAAAGGCTGTAATAAAGCGTGTTATCTATTGCTTCTTTTTTCAACTCCATTTTTTGACATGTTAAATGTGTCAACTGCCATATGTTTAGCACATACGAACTGTCAAGGGTCTGCCATTTGTTATTATGGATTCACTATTATTCGTCATTGTTTGTCAGAGCGGTCCGGTGGACCTTTGCTCTTAGTTAAAAGTCTCGTCGGATTATTAGTCTGTCAGGTCTGGCTACCCAGATACCAAACATGTTTAAGGGGAAAAGGGAAAGAAGGAAAGAAAGGAAGGAAGGAATAGGGCAAAGAAAAGAAGTAAATCATTTGAAATAGCTTAAGCAATATTGCTTTGACTAATCGAGTAATTTTGTAACTCCAAAAAATAATTTTGATCGGTTTTGTATACTGAAATAGTTTTGGCTGGTCTGGATTCACAATTTAATTTTGATCACAATGCGAGGCGCGGCCTGGAGTGTTTGCGAAGTTGCTCGACTGTGTAGTCCACTGAATCACGCAACATATGTTCGATTCGGCTTGACTATAACGCCGCTGTGCCTGTTGTTTTACTTAATCCCTTAGATATGAGATATCAAGGTCTCTGTGAATGGTCCCATATGACACGTACCAAGAGGCGTTAGTGATTTTGCGTAGGATTCTGTTTTACAGGACTTGCAGTCTATGCATGTGCGTCTTGGCAAGAAAACCCAAGCCGCGCATGCGTGGGTGATTGCGGGTCTTATAACCAGTTTGTATGACCGAATCTTGTTGATCAAACTTAATTTTGAAATTATGCACAACAAAGGAAGTTGCCGAAAAGTAATTTGGAATTTTGTTTTCAAAATATCAGTATGTTTCTGCCAGGTCAACTCCTTGTCAATGATGAGTCCAAGGTGCCTGACAGATTGTTCCCATGGTATACGAGTTCCATTCACTGATATCTCTGAGGGGGCACTGCGACGTTTTTTTGTACAATAGATTGCCTGCGTTTTTGAAATATTAATTTTGCTCAACCACCGATCCGCCCACTCCAATACTGCGCCCACCGCACTCTGCAGCCTGTCGTGAATCAGGTTACCAGAAGAAGACTGAGCTAGCAGTGCAGTGTCATCAGCATAGAGATAGACTTTACAGTTGCTGGGACAAGGGAGGTCATGTATATAAAGTGAATAAGGGATTGGTCCTAAGACCGAACCTTTGAAGAACACCGGGCCGTGTTGTTGACAACACATTGTTAATTTTGATCCGAAACTTCATTCCTTCTAGAAAAGATTTCAAAAGTTTTAGTAGCCAAAATGGAAAACACTTTTGGATGAGCTTATACAAGAGGCCCATGTGCCACACCTTGTCAAATGACTTTGATACATCTAAAAGCAAGATACCAGTACTTTGGTTCAGGGTGAACCCCCTGGTTACATGCTCCACCAGTCTAACTGCCTGTAGCTCCGTACTATGCTCAGACCGAAAGCCAAATTGCACGTCAGGAATCACATGATGATCTGACGAGAAATTCTCAAGGTGACGATAAATCACCTTTTCAGCGAGCTCAGAAAGAGCTGACAGCAGACTAATGGTACGCTAATCTTGGGGGAACATCGAACCTGCCTAATTTGGGATCATGATGACTTCAGCGATCTTCCACGCCTTAGGAAAGTAATGAGATCTAAGCATTGCATTGATTATTGGCATCAGATAAGTCAAAGCTTTGACCGAAAGCAACTTCAGTGCTTTGTTGGTGATTTGATCCTCTCCAGATTCTTTACGCACCTTTAGGTCCTTAATGTGGCCTTGGAGCTCTGCTGGTGTGCAAAACGGAATCTCAGAAGATTCCGTTGATGTGCTATGCTGACATTCATCTGAAGAGTTTTCCGTAGAAGAATCTTCTGAAAAGGAGTCACCGATTCTAGCACTGACGTTGTTGGCGCCATGCGCTCTGAAATGTCTCCTGACAGATCTTACAATTTGTCGTTCCTCGTCAAGGTCATTGTCCATATCATAATTGGGAGCAAAAACCTCCACTTTATCCTCAGTCCTGAAAAGTATGCCTCCAGAACCATGAATATGTGGTAATTGTTCTTTCCTTCCGCTTCTGAGCGATTTAGCCACTTTCCAGAGAGGAATACTTGACTCAAGCATCCCCGCCAAAAAGTCGCTCCACTGCTCATTACGGAATTCATGGAGTGCATTTCTCACTTCATGGACGAGATTCGTCGCTCTACGAATGTCATCAGGATGACAAGGCCTTTTTGCTTGCTTAATCGCAGCCCTCTTTTCGGGAATTTTCCGACGGATGTTAACAGGGAGATTATGGATTCTTTAAAAACGCAAGAACACATTTTGGTCGTCCAAAAATATTACGAAAATGTTTAAAAAGTACTTTTCGCAAACTGGCTCAGTTGAAGGTCGTAGGACATATCAACATGCCCGTCCGGTACGTACGAGGTACATTTTTACCTCAGTGGCCACGTAAATAAGCAAAACTGTAGGACGTAGGGTTCAGAAAATTCACACGATATCCATGAACAACCTCTCTATGATCATAAAGTAACTGTTTGGTGCAGTTTATGGGCTGCTGGCGTCATTTGATCGTTCTTTTTCGAGGATGGAGAAGAAAAAGCCGAACGTTATCGTAGTATGATAACGAATTTTATTGGCCGAAATTGGAAGATATTGATGCCAACGACCTTTGGTTCCAGTAAGACACAGTGCACACAGCTCGCCAAAAAAAAAATCCAGTTATAGGCCGAGAATTTCCAGATCACATTATTTGACGAAGCTGTTTTTTATTTGCCTGTAATACTAAAGAAAGTGCCGCATCTTTCCTACTATTATCTATCTTCTGTTTCTCTTTGCACAAGTCACACTTTTCACGTCGCTTCTGGTCACAAAGCTGGCAAACTGCTTTTTCTGTAATATCATTTTCATGGGATTCGATTACTGACCTATTTACCTCGCTAATGTTATTTTTCAACTGTTCAAGAATTTTATCCAGATCCTCCTTATTCTCGATCTTTTCGATTGCTTCGAGAGGCAGAACTGATGACCGTAAGCCAACTTTATTTAACATCACAACCAAACATTGCTTGGTACGGTTTTTTTAATTCCATGATGATATGCTCTATTTTTCATTAGTTGAACAAATCTTAATGCTTCAGACCATTTTTGACAATTTTCATCGGTCATGAGCATTTTTTCGACATCTTGATTGGCACGTTCTACGCTACCTTGTGACTGGCTATGACGCGGCTTCTCATGCACAATCTTTAGACTTCGCTACATTTCTGTCAAATTTCCCACAGGTCGGTTAATGAACTCCCGACCATTATCAGATTGCAATATAGATGGTAATACGAATGTGCAAAATATATTCAGCAGTACCTTTGATACTTCCTCAGCAGTCTTACTTTGTAAAGGGCGTAGTAGTACGAACTTCAGGTGATCCTCGTAAACTAATATGAATTCAAAATTGCCGTGTGGGTTTGTTTGCATGTCTATCAAATCTTCGGCTATTCTGTTCATTAGATAAAATGGGTTTCACGACAAGACCATTATTGATTGAATTTTGTTTCATTTAACATGACTTACAAAAAAGACAAATAAGAACAGCTTCCTAAGTGATGTTTGCGTACTTGCCCTTAGCTTCTACAATCATCCTATTGCTCGCGGCGTGTCCAGTACTCACGTGTTTTCCCTGAATAACATCGAAGAAATATTTATTCATGCCGTAGTATTTGAGATCCTCGGTATTTTTGCCATTGGGTAAAGTAGCAATCAACTTCTCGATGTCACCAATGCAACACACATTGAAACGCTTCAAAAGACAATACTGTAAAGCCGCAGCTTTAACGTCTTCGATATACTTCAAACACGATAGACATACACTGAAGAAAGGATAATGCGCATGTGGGCGGAGCTTCGTGACGTCACCCAGAGAGTCGTCGGCTCGTGGTTACCAGTGGCAGGATTGTCGTAACGTTACTGCGGTGCACGTGTATCGTGGTCAATACTATATAGTGCGATTTATTGGTGATTTTTGGTGGGTTTTTGACTTGTTGTAGTAGTTATACATACTTTATATACCCTGCGATGTTAGTAAATTGATAAAAATGCGGTGTGCTGTTGTGCATCCTTTCAAAGACATGATGTTCCACAGTTTTCTTCAAGACCCAAGCGTTAGCAAAAAATGGCAACATCATACAAAAAGGAAAATCAAAGTCAATGTAAAAAGCGCTAGGGTTTGCT